CTTCTAGGTCACGTGTGGCCCTGTGAAAGTTTTGGCGGAGAAGCTGCTAGCTCGGTAACCAAAAAAGCTGGACAGCTGAGACTTTAGGAGAATATTCCTCGTCCAAATGCAACTTAAAAGTTTCAAATTCGGCATCCACGTACGCGTGGTTCTCGTACACTGACACTTAAATTTTTGGCGGGAAAACTACTCATTGGACTCACTGGACGGCTGAGTCATTTTCAAAATACGACCGCTAAACTGAAATTGTTTATTTCCTTTTATGCAAAATTTACGATGACTTGTGGTACTGAGCGTACGAGGTAGGTGTGAAGAAAAAGTTGTTCACGCAGTTAACCTAATTACTTCAAGTTTGGTGCAAAAACGCATGATCGCACCGGCTCAGCTGGTATGTTCCAGCCTGGGTTTTATTTTATATTCTTCTGGCTATGCGCGAACGTTGGGTAATTAACTGTGCCGAGCGCAGAGTGATTGGGATGCGCGAACGTGGAGTGATTGGCAGTGCGCGAGTGCGGAGTGATTACCTCTGCACAAAAGTGAAGTGGTCTGGTAACATATTATGTTTTAGCCTTAGTTTCCAGCCTTTTACGTGTAATGTAGGGTACCGGCATGTTTAATGTGTAATACAAGGTACCATTCAAACACATTTAATATATATTTAATGCTCGTAATATTTTCCGTGTGATTTGCATATAAATGCAAAAATAAGTGTAATGGAGTGCACATGAACAACAGACACACACATAAATACAGATACACTTGCAAATAAACGCACACATACACATACAAACACACACATACACACAAAAATGAACACATACAAATACACACACCAACATATTCATAAACACACACACGCGCGCAAAACACAAATACAAACACTCACAAGCACACACATAGAAACACGCACACAAAAACATACACGAACATAAGCACACGCACAAACACACACAGAACATGTGGGAAAAAGGAGCAATTTTAGAAATGAATATAGAGAGGTGCTTTATTTCAGAATTATTAATCAACTGCAGTGAAGCTCCGAAATAATGGTTTGCGTCAGACAGGATATACCTCAGTTTTGTTATGCGTTTTTTGTAGCTATGCAATGCGAAAAACGCGTATTGATGAGAGGTTGTCTGTGTCTGTGTGTATTTTTGTGTGTGTGTCTGTGTGTGTGCAGGGCCTCTCTACCGATTTTTCATCTCGAGACCGGCAAAAGCTACAGGGCTGAAACTTTGGCGACTTAATCTACATGCACGTACGGGCCCCCATCCCCAAAATGAGCGGTCTTTCCCGCGTGGTACCCAAGTAAAAGCCCGCCAAAGTTTTTTACGGATAAGCTGCCAACTTGCGAATCAGAAAAACTAGAGAGCTGAAATTTTATGGGAATGTTTCCAGTCCAAGTAGGTACTTATGAGCTCAAAACCAACCCCCCGGGTAAACGTGGTACCCGCGTGCGAGCCCGTCAAGATTTTTTTCGGGTAAGTTCATAACTCGGGGATCTGAGAAGCTAGATGGCTGGAATCTTTGGGTAATGTTCGCCATCCAAATGGGTATCAGTGAGCTCAGATCCAGCCCCCGGGTAAGCGTGGCACCCGCGTATGAGCCCTTCAAAATTTTTTTCAGGTAAGTTCATAACTCGAGGATCTGAGAAGCTAGAAAGCTGAAATCTTAGGGGAATGTTCCCCGTCAAACTGGGTATCATTGGGCTCAGGCCCAGCCCCCGGGGTAAGCGTGGTACCCGAGTACGAGCCCGTCAAAATTTTTTTCAGTTGAGTTCATAACTCGGAGATCTGAGAAGCTAGAAAGCTGAAATCTTAGGGGAATGTTTCCCGTTCAAGTGGGTATTAGTGGGCTCAAACCCAGCCCCCAGGTAAGCGTGGTACCCGCGTACGAACCCGCCAAATTTTTTTCGGGCAAGTTGATAACTCTAGTACCTGAGAAGCTAAAGGACTGTAATTTTAAGAGGATATACCCCGTACACCTAAGTTCCATACGGCTCGAATCCAACTTTTGGGTATGCTTGGTAAATACGCACGGGCCCATGAAAATTTTGTTCCAGTAAGTTGCTGACTCAGGTGCCAGGGAATCTAGAAAGCTGAAATTTTAAGGGGATGTTTTCTGACAGTTCCGGCGGCCAGTCTTAATTTGTTTAGCTAGAAGCATTTACCGAAAAAGCGGTGCCGGTAGCAACAAAAACTGCGGAGAACTATGCAAAAAACGCATCTTTGTACGGGCAGCCTGTGCGTTGGCCAATTATTATCTTTGCCAAAATCACCCTGCTTATTGTTTTAAATTTTGCATGAGTCAGCTTCGAGCATAAACTCCCCATAGTTGAAATTTTTCGCCACTCCGACTGAATGAAACTTAATCTGACGCTGTACCGATAATACCCAAATCAGCACTGATCAAAGCTATGTACCGTGGTCAAACAGTTGCCGAATCAGCCATTGGGAATACCACTAAAAATACTTATATTGCTGAGCTTTAAAAGATAGCTTTCATAACACGCAAACAATCAGTTCATTGTGAACTATAACAAAAGGATGTAAGTTAGTCATAAGGAGGTAGGCCCATAGTTTCTGGCCTGAATTCTTCTAAACTTTTTAGCACAAATGCAATTTTATCCTTCACTGCTTCGGGTGGCTCCATGTACGTAGGGTCCGGAACCATAACAACTTGCATGCCGGCAGCTACTGCCGCCAGAACTCCATTTGCGGAATCTTCGAATACTAGGACATTTGCAGAACTGGTGGGTTTCTCCTTAAATCGGTCCATCGTGACCAGAAACGGATCAGGTGCTGGCTTCCCCCGCTTCACGGCAGAATCACCGGAAAATACCTGAAAATACGATGAGAAGTGCTACAAACAAGCTGTCCAAAAATTTAGTACCAGCATTTTTAAGTTTCGAAAGGTTCAAAACTGCTAGCTCAGTGCCGAGAGGGGGCAGACGTGATTGTCTAGTGCTTGTTCGATGTATGTGCTCCACTCCTTCGAATGCTAGTAGAATGTTGATATGTGCATCAAACACTAATGTGGGACGTTTAGTTGTTGTCAACAAGGCAAGTGACAAGTCGAAGCACAGTTAGTCCTTTTTTTGACGAAGACTTACGATTACGGACATTAAATTGACCACTTCCTGATGTAAAGACATCTTGCTG